CAGCACTGCTCGACATGGTCGCCATGATCACCAGCACTACTCGATGTCGCGATAATGGGAAATCTAGCGGCACGGCCGAGAAAAATGCGAGATACCGTGAGATATTCCATCGTGAAGACAAGCTCTGGCGCAAATACAAGATATAAAAACCCAAGTATACGTACTGAGACATGGTACTCAACTACCATTGTATAGTTACTTGATATCCAAAATTTGCATAAAATATCCAATAGAAATATATTTTATTATTAATGACCAGCAGGAACACAATATGTTACAGTATTTGGGCACAACAAAAAAAGAAGACACTAGACCCTAAGATGTCTCATTGTAGCCCGCTCGTTGTTTCCTAATCTAAATTCGTTGAGATATTAAGCTGTATCACGTTAGTCCCATCAATTTATCGCATTAGCTCCATCACGTGGGGCTAATTTGATACACACGTTTGATTTTTTTTAAAGAGTTGGGGTAGATTTTAAGTTATGTTTTACTTCCTACACGTCTTTAGCACCAAAAGGCACATATGCAGGTTTTTAATGTTTGCAACAAACGGTATAGAAGATACAGTGAAAGATTTGATTTCCTTTATCATAAAAGTTCCGATTGACTCTAATTCTTGAAAATTAGAATTGCAACTTTGCCTAGAATCTTGAAGAAAAAGTTATACTACTTAAGATATTTAACTACTTATAAGCAACTACCCCAGGCGAAGAAAATTTGAAGCTCTTGGACCAAGACCATATGCTACCGCGCCTGGAGGCCAATGAACGATATTATTGGAGCTGAGGCCTTGTATACCAGATACGTTTGTAGAATCACATTAGTCACGTGATTTGTAAGCCATATCTGCAATAGGCATTTTTCTCGAAGGACGAATGTCATTGGCCTTGCAACGGAATCGAACATACTGGACGGATACGACTCCCTTACGCGAAACCACAGTATTACAAAACCAGGTTCTGTAATCGATACAGTGGTCTGAAGCAGCCGAAGAGAGGCCATACCTTTGCACAAAAGAAATGAGAGATATGTACTGTAAATATTAGAAATCATGTAACCCACCGAATAACGAAGGGATGAACATCCATAGACGCTACGCGAAAAAGGGAGAGGGAAGACAGACTCCAATAGGGAGACGTAAAGGCCTTTACACACGGGCCAATTTGTCGGATCCACTGTTCGGACAACGAAATTGGACTCTCGGCTACACACTGTCCGACCAACAACCCGACTTTTCAGTAGTGCTCGGAGTTTCGAGAAAGCAATATCTATGCGAGCACAGTGATTGTCGACCTCGAAAATCTGGCCAAAATGAAAAAATCCTATTTAAAGATGTTTGTGTTCACATTAGTTTACTTTTGTATTCATCTTCAGAGCCCAGTTCGAAAGCTAACCACGTTCAACCGTGTTCCGTTACGGCAGCGAAAAATACCATCAGGTTATTAACATTTTTGACAAAGTTTTTGTACAAATATAACGCGAGTTAAAAGATTTAGTCCAAGGAATACTGAATATTACGTTAATTACTGAAGTGAAAAAAATAAATGAGAAATTATAAGAAAAAACATGTGTTATAGTACAAAATAATTCTACGGTCAAATTTGCAATTTTCTTGTATACACTACGTATTACCTTCCAAAATCACAGAAGTTGCTGCATCTCGCTGTAACTGCATTTCTGGCACGTGTTTCAATAAAGAAGTTTGTGTGTCGTTTAATAATGATCTCATGATATTGTATGAAATTTCTACTATTTGTAAATGAAAACAATTGCTTTTCTTTATGTTGCTTTCATTCTCATAATTATAGTCAAAATTCGATTACATTACCGATTTTGAAAAGAAAGTTGCATTTTATGTTTTATTTACTTTTCTGGCAAATTTGGCCCGTAATTTTATTTCCAAAATCCCCAAGTACCAAAGAACTTTCAATTAACAATTTGGAACAATGTTTCACAATTGAACAAGCTGTTTTGAGGTCTGGAATCACTGTAAGTTGGCACAACACTTCTACACACTACACAATTTGTCAGGCAATATGGAGGGGAATTGGCGGTCGTGTGGTTAGGACCAACCAACCGCCCGGCAAAAAATTATGTTGGACCACTTGCAGCACACGATGCAATTTGTCGAATTGACTGGCTGGTTGGCCCGAAACTTCGGTACGTTAGTAAGGACCTTAAAAATGGGAACTGTTGTGACGTTACAACTCTCTTTTGGGGTCTGCCTTCCCTCTCCCTTTTTCGTGCGTGACCTTGAGACGCCAAGTTAAAAAAAATCGAAGTGTAGCGAAATATGATCTGTCCGCTCTATAGTAAATCTATTCTTTGTCCAGCGAGAGAGCGAAGTGGATGTAAACATTGCAACTTGAGTTGGTAGTTGCTGATTGGCTGCGAATCCGCGATACACATTCTTGCTCGGGCTTGTTTAAGTACACGCGTAATAAAATAGTTTTGTACATTTCAAGTAAATGCTCCTAATATACGTTAGAAAATCAGATGTAATCAGATATAGTTGTATCGTAATGCCTCGATTCTCCCTCTTCTCTATCCCAGATCAGCGTCACGCCTTTAAATTTCTCCAATCATGATCAAGGTTCTTGTTCTGCGCCTTAACCTTACGACCAATTGACTATGGGGAAATTAGGTTCCTGTGCCTTCCAGCATGCAGGCTATTAAATTAATCCTACGCACGTGTGTGCCCTTTTAGCGTGCATAATTTTCCCTACAGAAAACTCTACTCTCGAAGCATCAAGCATGCTGTTGGTGTATGATAATCTGGGGAGCACTTGTCTCCCTGGCTAGCTGCCTTTCCCAGCCTCCGGAAGCTATTCTCGGACACTTTTTCCACAAAAGTTCTACCCCGATCAGACACGCGTAGGATGGAAAAGTTTTCTTTCTGCTTTTGCCGCGCGCTAGCGTACAGACGCAACCCAGAACACGGTGCAGCACACCACTTTCGTGCATAACAGGAATACAATGCATTTTAGAGCTTTAAAACCAGATTTTCGTGGCCCTGGGGGACACAGTTTTGGTTTTCTAGCCCCTAATCTACAAAATGAGGTTTTTTAGACGTTTTCTTCCGAGATTAGCGTTTAAGAGAAAGCTACTTTACTCTATATCGTCATTTGTGACTTGAAAAGAGTATTGTTAACAGTACATATAACTTCTAGAGGAGTTTGCTCTGTTGACCGTTGAGGTCATTAGACCAATTTTCGTGGGTGAGTTTCCTACTCATGCGAGAAAGAGAGAATACAAATGATATTCTAATTGGTGTGTCACTGATGTCAATTCACAACACTGTTCTAAAGTAATATGGAAATCAGTTATTGTCTTGAAGCCGATCTTGCTCAAAATACATTATTTAAAACTTTAAATTGTCATTTAAGAGTTGAATAAAGGTTTCAAAAATATACTATTGCAGTATCATTTATGTGCAAAAATGTGCGAAATTTTGCACTGATATTTGTTGTGAACTCATGAAACCAAAGCCAAACTGTTATTTTCGCTTCTATTTTCGTGTCAACCAATGACTCTTGCATACTAAGTCAAGATAGGTTTCGTTCCCGTTGAAAACTATAAGTCAAAATTTGTTTTCCAGTGTTATTTAACAACAAAATAATTGACCATTGCAGAAATCACGACCATTGACGAATAATAAAATTGGTTCACGGGATTGGTCAGTGTGGGTAAAGAAACAATTACTTATACCAAAGTTTCGAAATATTTAATTTCTTCATCAGGGCTTACTCATACTCACTAAGGTCAAACTTCATTTCCAGTCACCACACCCAACTCCACATGGAGTTGCTAAAGCACGTGGGTCCATCGCGCGACAACTCTGAATCGGGCCACGGGCCGAACCGCAAATAAATGAGAACTCGTGTGCACGCAAATGAATTGAACGCATGAAATTGAATGAATGAAATGAATGCAAGTTCTCATTCATTTGTGGTTCGGGCCGTGGCCCGAATCACACTTGTCCTACGATGGACCCACGTGCTTAAGCAATCCCATGTGAAGTTGTGTGAGGTGGTTGGATATGAGGCTTGGCCTTAATGAGTGCTAGTAAGCCCTGATAAAGAAATTAAATATTTCGAAACGTTGGCATAGCTAATTGTTTCTTTACCCTTACCGACCAATCCCGCTAACCAATTTTATTATTAATAAAATATTTGTTTTAATGACTTGAAATGTTATATTCACGAAAATTAAAAACCAATATTTTTACACAGACCTGCATGATAATATTTTTTTACTTGAGAAAAAGAAGTTCTTACTAAATCATTGTCAGTTTTTTACAGTGTGGTTCAAGAATTGTTTTTCTAATAATACAGTTGTGTGTAAATAAAATTCATTATGATTACATTGCTTTCCAAACTATTATGCTTTTCAATATCTTATTACTAGTGAAATGTAATAGTTCACCCTCCTCGTGCTTTCCCGCTCTCTTCGTGCTCCCTCGTACTTAAAAATTGTTTTTATTAAGCCTATTTTACTCTTCCACATAATACATTCATTGCCTGAGGCTCGAGTTCAATGGACGCTACTTTGGATTAGATATAAATCTCAGGAATGACCGTAACGGCGTAAATATCAGTGTTGTGATCAATTCTTTCTGTATTTGGTTGAAATTTTATGAAGCGAAGTACACATATATCGAATCTGGCGGCACGATGTGCATATGCCATTCGTCAAAGAGTATAGACACTAGAGTAGTCGTATAGGCATTGTAGGGAATGCGTGATCGTGCGAACAGAACTCGGGTTGCGTGACAAAAAAGGTACTAGGGTTTATTTAATCATGCACTTGACGTAAATCAGCTCTCCACTTTTTCATCTAATCGGGGGCTTGAACGTTCCCATAATGATATCACTGTAGGGACATTTTAGTTTTCTATTGGATAAAACCGCATCAACTTATTTACGTCAAGTGCACGAATAAATAAATCATACTAAACTGCAATTTATGCAATTCTGCCCCTGGCAGGTATCAATTATGGACGATTTCATCCAATCGGGAGCTTTGACGTCACAATAGTGACGTCACGACAGTGACGTCAAAACTGGCGATTAAATAAAACTTTTAACAACTGATACCTGCCAGGGGCAGAGTTGTCAAGATCGCAGTATACTTGCACTGGTGGGCGAGCAGACGTGGTAGCAGCTAGTCAATGATGACCAGATGATGTCCGTCAATAGCAGGCAGTGAGTTACACGTCACATGTTACCAAGAGGAATTAGTGACGTTTGTTTAGAATTTTGTCAAGAAAATGCCCTTAAGTCCAACGATTGGTAACTTTGACAATAGCTCATTGATGAGGTGTGTTATTTAACAAATGTAGATATCCCCATGTCAAAGACGTGATTTGACGCCTGTCACATTGTATGAGTATAACCTGTTTTTGGAAATGGCCAGCCCAAGAACCCGCTGTATTCTTGCTGAATTAAAACCTTTACATGATAATTCGGTAAGGTATTGCCACGCAATACAGTTCAGCGTAAAATATTTGTGATTTTTTTTTGAAACCTAATATTTGATTTCCAGAAATGTTTTGAATGTGGAACACACAATCCACAATGGGCGTCTGTGACATATGGCATTTGGATTTGTCTCGAGTGCTCAGGGAAGCACAGGGGCCTCGGGGTGCATTTATCCTTTGTCAGGTCCATCAGTATGGATAACTGGAAAGATATTGAATTGGAGAAAATGAAGGTATGTGACAGAGACAGATGCCCTGTTTCTGTCACGAGAATACATCAGTCAAATAATATTTTGTTGTAACTGTTCTGATGAGAGCTTTGTTGGTATGAAACATTCTTTCATTAGTGGTTGGTGAGCATATATTTAGCACTTTTACCTTGAAGTGAATTGTCTTGCACTGTATTCCTACCAACCCGACCCTTATTTGATTTCGTATTAGTTAATCTTGTGGGATTATTTAAACTTCCAAGTATATTGGTACTACATTGTATCATTGTATTATATCTTTGAAAATCTTGTTTTTTGATATTTGACAATATCTGCTGGGAATTTTAACATTCGTTAACTATATTCTAATATATAATCTGATGTGTCATATAATTTTTATAATAAATGCCACATTACATTTATTTTCATTGAAAATGCCATTATTCACTGTGAACATGAAGCTAAGAAGTATTTCTGTTTAACTACGTTTTTATGTGAAATTATTTTTTGTTTGCCTGTTTATATATTTGAAGTTCATGTAAATATTGAATTTGATAATATTATTTTATCCAAACTTTTGGCATGTGGAATTTTTAATAAAGTTGTGGGTAAAAATATCTTCCCTAAACAATATCACAGTAATACTTGTAATATTATTCCAAGTTTATTTGGGATTGCCATATAGTGAAATGTTATTAAGTATTGGCTAAACAGTAAAAGTTGTTGGCCTCCTTCATTGTGAGGTGCTAATTGAATTAACAAAAGAGTCGTAGAAGAGTGAGACATTGAGGAAATGGCCACATCGGCAGCCAATCTTTATACACCAAAAATTCTGTTTGGTTAATTTGCGATTTAAGACATCAATGCTGAGATTAAGATAATCAGTCTGACAAATATTCTCTGGGTCACATTTTCTTGTAGCCAAATCTTCAGAAACACTATTGGTAAGTAATGGTGTTTTGTCAAACTCTGAGAAAGAAGCAACATTGATTTGCAAATATGTTGGAGCTTGTTAAAGGCTTGTTTCAGGAAGTATTTGGTAAGGGACAGGTGATTAATTTATTGAGAATGGTTTGAAGTGTCAATGAAGGGAAAAACAAATTTTAAACCTGTAAAATATTCTTCACCTTCACGTAATTCTATTTGTCTATAGTTATTCCTTAATAATTGGAATTTGACTTTTGAGTTTATTTTAAAATATACCATTCGGATATTCGATTTCACTGTTAGGCAAATAAATAAATGTCTATAACACAATACTGACAGAAAGATGATTTGAATGTAAAAATTATTTATGTAATACAGTTGAAATGTAGTTTTGAAAAAGACTTGATGATTTTGTTGAAAGAAATTTCTGTAACATGTTATAAAGAGGTTAAAGAATCAATAAATTAAGGAATGAAAATTTAAATTCTATTATAAATTAGTATTGTATGAGAAAAAACAATATTGTTAGTTTTTATATACTGAGAACTAAGGAAGCAGTTATAAACTTCAAAAGACTGACTTCTTGATCTTTTGCACAGAATGGCAATAAAGGAATGAAATATTTAATTTTTTCATATGCACTATCCAGTATAGGTGGTAAGGCATTGTGTAGTTGTTGAGAATTTAACATTTTTACATTTAAAATGCATCTATCTGTATGTCTTTGTATGTTTAGTATTTGTTTTGCTTTTAGGTTGGAGGTAATCAAAGAGCAAAGGACTTTTTCAAGTCCCAGCCTGATTGGGATGAAAATGCACCACTTCAGCAACGATATAATACTAAGGCAGCTGCACTCTATAGGGACAAGGTACGTTGAAGTTATGTTATGTTTTTTTCTTCACAGTTATTTCTGTTGGGAGGCAAAAGATGCCTCTATTAATCTTTCAGTTTATCCTTAATGGCACTTTTAAGAAAAGAAGCATTTCTTATAAATTGAAAGAATGTTTACTTATTCCATATCTGATTTTAGGCAAATAAGTTCATTATATATAAATGTGGTACATAATCTTGATTTCTTGCAAAATTAAGATGCGTCAATAATAGTTACTTTGAGAATTCTTGGTTTCCTTGCTTATCAGAAAATGTATTATGCTATATTAAATTTAGATATGAATCATGTCTCAAGCTTGTCATGATAAGTAGATTTCATGTGAATGAATTAAAACTGAGGATGTTTGAAGATAATTCTTGAATTTGAGCTAGTTATTTGTAACGAAGATGAAACGAAGTTGACAGGAAATTTAAAATGAATAGGTGTTATAAATATTTAAATAAATAAATTGTAACAAATGTGCCCTTTAATTATATGCTATTGAAAAGCATGTAGACTTAGTTTCCTTTGAAGAAGATGGGAGAGTGGAAGCAGTATGTATGGTATAAGTTTTGAAAGTAACACTTAAGGAGAAGTGTTTGTAAATTTTGTTGAGAGTGAAAGTGGATAGAAAAAGAAAGAGGGAGGGGACATGAGACTGACATGAGGGACTTGTCTCCTCACCTAGTAAATGAGTATGAACCTTGACGTGAGGCAACTGAAAGAAAATAGAAAGTAGTGGAAGGTACTTCCAGCTTGAGCTTCTTTCAACATGCTTGCCTCCTTTGAGAACATGCTGGCCTGATGTCTGTAATATTTTAGGCAAATTGTGTTTTGTGTGAAATTTGAAGCATTTACAATAACTTTTAAACAATTGTGATGTCATAAAATATTAAAGTGGTTCAATAACTAAATAATGCTAGCGTTCATTAACATAAAACTTTGGCATATTTAATTCCTTGTAGAGTAATATTTGTTTTTCTCTGTGGATGTAGATAGTTCTTTGTGAACTTAAAGTTCTAGAATGGAAGAGAGTTTTTTTTTGTAAACAGTTTAGAATAATTGATAATTGATATGTGTCCAATGAAATGTGCTTTTTTCTAAAGTAATCAGTTAATTTATTATTGTTCTTTGTTCTACAAGCAAGAAAATTAAAATGCTTTTAGTTTACTTGCTTCAAGTGAAGTAAATTCCTAAGCATCGAGGCTCTATAGTTGGTTTCTGAAAAACTCCATGACCAGTAATGTTATCATTAGTGAATCGCTGATATGGATATTTTGTGGCCATGCAGTGACTGGCCAATAATGAGATAGTAGGGCATGGATAAACCAATGGCAAATCACATTCTTTCAGAAACCAGACCATAGAAATTGTATGTGGCATATGTCGTGACATGCTTTGTTTTTGTTAATATGTAGCCTTAGATAATGAGTTCTAAAATTGACTTCCATCAGTGTGTTGTTAATGTCATTAATTCAAAATAGTGTGCTCTTGATGTCAGTATTCAATAAATGTGAAGCAAGGTCTTACAACACCAGTTTTGTAGTTTTGATTTATGAAGGAGTTTTTAAAGATTTCTGGGCCTTTATTTCTGTTATCTGGGAAGTAATGGATTTATTAGTTTCATGTAGAATCCATTAGATTGGATTTAATTCTTCAAAATGTGTAAACATTACAAAGGATCATAGAGCAAATAAGGACATGTTCAGGCAGATTTATACATAGTACCATATAAATAGGACAAACAACAGATATTTTACATTCAATCAAATTAATACAAAATATATCTACATTCTTAATACAAAAAGAAACTAGAGGTACTACAACAGTACACACTTTCTCACATTATTTGACTGCTAAGCAATATTAAACTACTGCAAAAGCGTTTTCAACCAGCAAAATTTTTTTCCTGCACTGAGACTCGGAACTCAGGTCCTCCAAGTTAACTCACCTTGCGCATAACCTCTAAGCCATGGAACCGCTGAGATGTTCTAACTTGGGGCAAAGCCTAAAAATAAAATTTTCTCAACCTAATATTCCCCATAACACATTTTTCGAAAATTCAGAGATCAACGAAAATTAAATCTTTACCGTTCTGTGAAGTGTCCTTAGTCTTAACTGTGAAAAGAATTTGAAGAGAAAGATTGGAATGGTTTTTGGGATCTCGTTCTTTTTATAATTAGCATTAATTTTAACCAGATATTGCATGATAAATACTTGTTTTTTCAAAAAATTGTACATTAGTTTTATTAAAGATCTGATTTTTTAGAACATATTTTGTTTAACCCTCAAACAGCATGGTAGGTTTCTATACCTCAAATGGTTAGGTTGGTTGAATCTGACCTGTGGTTGCATTTTACTTTTGTCAAATTGACAAGTATGGCAAATTACATCACAAAGGAATAATGTCTTTTGTGATTACACACTTAAAAAAACAAAAAAGTATTTCTGTGGTCACAAAACAAGGACGTTACACTATGTTGGGTTCTCTACTTAGAGATTTACTGCAATTTTTGAAAAATTTCATTTCCTTTTCTGTCTTTAGTCTTATCACAGAAATCACATCTTTCATCTTCTGGGAAATTAAATTATTTCTATGTCCTTTTCTTGTTCTCTTTCTGGTGCTTCTATCACCTTACAAATAGTTGACTGATGTTCTCTTGGTACATATGCATTTTCAGTTCTTTATTATGTTAGTGGTTTCATCAAAGCCAATGCTAATTTTGTTAAAAAATTTGAGTGAGCGTCATTCGAGTAAGAACTACTTTTGGGGTTCGATTAGTAAAGAATAAAACTATTCACTGCAGCAGCAATATCTAAAATCCCATAGAAATAACGCATGGGCCAGCGCCTACTCTTTCTTTTCATTATCTTGTCATGACAAAGTTTGTCCAACCTCCACACCTCCTTTTGTGATGTAGAATTCTGTCACTTGTCCAGAAAATGCATTGAAAGTACCAACAATACTTTCTTGGTTTTCTTGTGTGTATAAGACACCACCATTTTGTCCTATTGTTACAGAAAATTTGACAACCCCACTGGCAGGGTCGTATCTAGGTATTCAGGTGCCAATGGCAAACATGGAATTTGTGCCTCTGTCAGGATACTTCAAATTAGGGTTGTTGTTTGTTTTAGTGAGTATACTCCAAATAGCAAGTGCCATGTCTCCCATACTGTAGATACGCCTCTGCCCACTGGTGTGGATGACAACATCAAAGGAGGAATGTGTGGTTTATTTTTCTTTAGGGTACTACCAACAAAAGTCAGTTTTTTTTTCTCAATTCTTCAACCAATTCTTAGGAAGAAAATCAATTATCGATGGTCATATTTCTTTTACTTCTATTTAATGATTCTGTGAGCTGCAATACATACTGTGCTGGCAAAGGTAAATCCCCCCCCTTTTTTTTTCTTGTGTTAGTGGCCTTCATATGGAATGCCATGAAGTAAAATGTCCTTGTCACAAAGTGAAATTATCTTCAGCTCATCAGGTTTTGTGGGAATGTAAGTTTTGAATGGGCATATCTCAAGGAAACTATGAAGTGTTTCATCAACTGTGTCATATTCAGTAGGGCCTGTAGTATTTTGCACAGATTTTTTACAAAAGTATTCCAAATGTCCGGAAATAATAAAGAAAAAAAAGTCAAGTAGTCTTCGAATTTATCTCGTTTCTCTATCACCCAATCTTTTTTTGCACGTTGTGCTTCGAAAAACAGGTGGACCATGTCACTATCATTTAAACCTCTTTTTTTCAAAATGTCACTCGTAAATAACAATTCCATTTAGACTTTGATCTCCAAAGCATTAGTAGGAGATAAGTACCACCGAACCAAAATAACTGCGTATTGTTTCAATTTTTCAATTTCTTTGTTAGTATGATTCACGACTGTACAGTGTGTACCATTTTTATTCGTACCCTGATATTTTTTAATGCACAATAATTTTTCTTCAAACATTTCAAATGGATATTGGTAATTACACTCGTTCATGTGACGTAAAGTTAATTTCAGAGTATTTTTTTGTTTTTTCAAAAATTACACAAATGCAAATGTTTTGAAAGATCTCTCACGCTGTTGATATGCACATTTCCAGCAAATTGGTAAACTCTATTGTATTTATGAGTGAAAGTACTTAAAATGACTTCAAAAGAAGTTTTTCGAAAAATCAACAATTTTCTGTGCAAAGAGCTTTAAATTTCGAATTTACATTTTATCGATGGCATAATGAACAAGACTGTTTACAATAATATTTTAAAAACAAATGTCAAAGAAAGTGTAGCCAATGGCACAAGAAAAATCGGAATTGCCATCTGTTTATATCTTTCAATGCAGCAATGACAACAAACATACTGCAGCAATTAATAAGGAATGGCTAATTTGGATCTTTCCAAAACAGTCGCACACTCTTCCACAATCACCTGTTTTTAATGCAGTCGAATATTTGTGGGCCTTGTTGAAATCAAAAATAAGATAACATAATATTTCATCTAAAGAAGACTTAAAGAAATTTTTTTTGGAGGAGTGGGAAAACGTTAGACTGGAAGTTTGCTAGAGTCTGGTATTAACCAGACTTCAATGCAGTGAAGATGCCTAGCCATTATGAAGGCAAAGGGGTATTGTACAAAATATTAGATCTTTGTTGTTTTATAACTGTTTTCCTGAGAGTGTTACTAGTGTTTTTATTATCAGTTATTAGTGTTCGAACAATAATGATTCGAAGGAAAATGACACGTTTTTGTTTATTGAAATGTCATTACTTATTTTATCTAATTGGCATGTTTTCATTTGGTGAATATACTAGTTTATTTACATAAAATCTTTTAACATGGAGTATATATCCAATATTCATTCAAACTATGTTTTGGATATCATTTTATTTCCAAAATATTGCTGTATGAAGAAAACTGGTAGATACTGTATCTATCATTTCGGATGTAATAAAGAGAGAAAATAACAGCAACTCATTCACTATTCCTCAAGCTTCACCTTCAGGCCCAGACAAATGAATTACAATGTTTGCTGCGCTTGTCTTTGAAAATTTACCTATCAAAAGTTGGTTTGTCCAGATAGTTTTATTATCCGTGCCCAAATCGAAAACCCTGTCGGTCACCAGTATGTTCCTTGATTCTCCACTCTACTTCCCATGAATCAAAAACGTCTTCGTTATGTAAAATTTTGTTAGCCTATTCAGAGGAAGATTTTGCAAGTTCATTGCCTAATTGATCTGTCTCATCACGCATTAACTCAGCTAAAATCACCTCTTTCGTTGCCAAATTTCAATTGAAATCCATCACAGAGTAACTAGATGAAAGAAAAAAATATTTATCTAAAGTTGAACATATATAACGTAAATTGTAAGGTGGGTCGTGTCCAACCCTGCCAGGAGCACGCCTCACTTCAAATACTATCAGTACATAATACATACTTGCATAATGTAGTTGCTACGTTGTCCTGGAAAGGAATGAACCAGAGGGCTCCTGAGAGCACGTGACCTTAGGACGAAAAGTGTGTAAGAAATGCTCTTACAACTCTCCCACAGATCACATCTGCCTCAAACCTTACCATTAGAGGGTTAAGGGGAAAATATCTATCTTCAATTTTGTAGTTCTGGATGGAGAATACAACTATATAAACTCTCTCTTTTAACCTTAATCTAAATAATCGTACACTAAGAATACCACAAAAACAGTTAATTCTTGTGCATACAGTAATTATGTACCTAAGAATACAATTGAAAGACGTATACATTATTAATTCTATCATTTTGCAACTAAATAATCTTTTTCGTTTTTGGACATTGAAATAGTTGTGTTCAAATACACTTTTTGAATAAAAATGTATTTTTTGTTCAAGAGGTTTTTAAAGTTATTTTCATGCAATTTTCCTTCTGGTTGCAGATTTCTACTCTTGCACAAGGCAAAGAATGGGATATAGCGTGTTCCCCTGCACAAAATTATGTCAACAAATTGAATGGAACTGCAAGTAGTAATATAAAGAGTTACACAAATGATTCTAATTATAGTGGCAGGAGTACTACTGAAAACGAGGGATATCAGTCTGGAGGTGGTTTTCAGAGTTTTGAGTATCAACAAAATGTAAATGATCAAAAAGAACTGTTTTTTGCTCGCAAAGAAAGAGAAAATGCCATGCGGCCAGAGTAAGTATATTCTTGTTTTGTGTTACTTATTTGGAACATTTGGAATTTCTATAACTATTGGAATTTCCTTTGGAACCATCTTTCTTCTTCAGAAATTTTAATATAAAAAATTTCTTGATGTAAATCTTCCTTTTTTGCGTTATCAATGTTTTGGTGTGATTTACTTTAGGAGGAATACTAGGTGGTGTGTAAATGTGTAGTAATTTATACTTGCTGCTAAAGGGTAAAAAAATCGGTGAGCACTACATATTTACACATCAATGATTAAAATAAGTTGGTATGGCTGAGGGTTGGACTTTCATTTGTTAATCAGATTAAATAGTAGTTCTTGAAGGTTTGTGGACATACGCTTTAGTAACAAGCTGCCTTGAGCAAGAGATATTGTCAGCAGTGCACTGTTTTGATCGAAATTCATAGAAAAGTTCAGTTATAATATGTGAACAGTAGCTGTGAGAGATCGGTGAATGAATGGTAAATTATCAAGAACAGATAAAATCACCTTTATTTAATTCTACTTATTCAGATTGCAGTCTGATATTTTAGTACTTGAGAATTTGTTAAGTTTTAATACTTTGAAACTTGATATTGTGAATATCTTGGCAGAGAGAAAATTCCTATCATGACTAGCATCACTATCTCAGTCGTTACTATCGTTTGCACAGTTTTCGACAAAAATTACAATTTCTGGAAACGGTGCATTAAATTGTTGTGCGGCATATGGCGCTCTCATTGAAACTGTTGAGGATATATAACCATGTTCTTCCTCCCTTTGTTAGGAGTTGAAAATGAAAACTATTCTCCCAATTCAATAGAATTAGTTTCTTTTTTAAATCCCCAAATAGATCTTTTCAAAACACCTCTAGTAGCGACCTTTTTATCACATTTTGCTTCTCTCTTCATAAATTGATATACTTTTGCAACAACTTCGTGCATCTGGTTGTGAAGGATTTTCTTAAGGAGCTTGCTCTGATCTAGACGCATTTCAATAACACAAACTTCAGTCTAGTAGGGAAACGCAACTGAAAGCTTGCACCTCACAGAGCTTGAAAGTGGTGGTCAATGTTTACACAACTGGAAGAGGGCAGTCAACATGAGCTGGGTACGGACGTGGTCCCCCCGAAGTTTGAGGAATGAACTCTTTCGGCAGCTCTGAGTCCTCCACCTTCAGTGATCATGCTAAAATAATTTGACTGTAGTTTTGTTTCTTATAATTGATGATTTGATGACTTGATTTGATATGACTGATGACTATGGAGATTATAGTTAAATAGTAATTTTTTGCTAACTAATATGTTAATTTTAACTAACGAAACATAAGATGAGGGGGTTTATTAATGGATTACTGAGGTTCACAGAGTGGAGCTGATTCACACTGCAAATACACTTGTATCTATAGTGTGTCATTTTGTGGTGGGGATGTGTGCAGTAGTAATGGTGATGAAATTTTGTTCATGTCATAATGTATATTGAATTAGAAAATTTCTGTTAAAAGAATTTTAAATAATTTAAGAAAATAGCAAATAAAAATGCAATGTAATTAAATTATGTCAATTAACAGACTTTGAATCCATATTACATAATAGATTTACAAACGGTAGATACATGCTTCAAACTAGTAAGGTTTAATATTCATTGGATTTAAAGTTCATTTGTAGTCAAGTACTTTGGTTTTGTAGTAAAGTATGTGATAAAGATACTGAATAACAAAATCATTGTATCTTGTAATAATTTGCTGGATGCTTAAAATTATTGAATGCAGAATTATACAGAAAGATTCCATTTAATTTGTTTTCTAGTGAGTTTAGGTGGAAAGTGTAAAATTCATTGGGCAGACCATTTGGTGTGATCCCATGTTACAATTACTGCATCATTCTGTACAGTCAAATAGCAGATGGACTACCACAGCAAAACAGTCTTGTGGAACAGATTTGTGAAAGTCTTCATGATTTTCTTTGTTCTCCTGTTTTGGGGCTTCAGCAGTATTTTTGATTTCCCTAAGTTATGCAATTAAAAGAAAACATAATGGGTTATTGACCACCACTTGCCTACTAAAAGTGTTGTCATCACTAGGTTGCAAAGGCACTTATGGTCCCTTCCCCCCAAGGGTGAATTTTGTTTCCAAATTAAAAGAAAATAGAATTTTTACTGAAATTTGATATTTATTTAAGTTATGTTTTGTATCAATAAATTGCTTTTTCAGTGCATAATTTGTTAAATTGATCAAAGTGTGTTATATCACTATTATTTATACATTTTTATAATACTAAATAAAACAATTCCTAAACATAATTTCTTGTTAATTTTTATTTGGACATAACTACAGACTAATGCCTAATGTTTTTTGATTATGTGGATGTTAATTATCTGTTAACTATTTTTATAACATTTATAAGTTGACTTAATATTTAGATGGAATTTAAGAGAGCAGTATATCCAAATAATATTAAAAACTAAGGGTGTTACAACAGCACATACTGTCATATTAATGGTAATGTGTAATATTGCACAACTTCTATCTTAGTAACACTTCAGCCATTATTTGAAAAGCTCCTAACCAAACAAAGCAAGAGAGTTCCAATATAAAAATACATTATTCAGTAACATATTTTAGTTTTTTGAAAATTCAAAAGTTTATATGAAAATGGCTCTGTGCCATTGAATTGACTGCATTGTTCTCTATTGTAACAAAAAGATTAAAGAAAATACGCAATCTGGGATTCAATCCAAGCCCTGCAGATGGAAAATGCACATGCTAACTGCAACACTAATCTGAGAGCATGACTATTTTTATCATATTATAATGATTTTTTAATGTTTTGAATATTCTTACACATTTTATTTATTGATTTGATTTGATTTGATTTGATTTTTGATTGCTCTGCAACTGCATGGTTATAAATAGGGGGTGGATTTTAATGAAATGTCATTTTTTTCCTTTTAACTTTAGAACAGTGCCATTTAGTATAGACATTCATTTTATGTTATGACGAAACAAAATGACCCATTTTATATGTAATTGTTTTTGCATTTTTCATCGATTTTGAGTAATAAGTCATTTTTTATCTTTTTACATAATTTCTTTGCTCATATGTTGTAATGACAGCTGCTGAGAGTACTACGTAATCTAAGGTTTCTGTGACTCTTATCAGCGCCATCGTCAGTTCAGCGAAAAAAAAGGCAGAGATTTTCGTTTAAAGAACAGTCCAAACCAAAAGTTTGCTAGCTGAGTTAATTTGAACAGAGAACAGAAGCAGCCTCAATTACACCCATAACATACCTAACAGCTTCAATTGTTCATCAGAACTAGTTTTGATCAAATTTTTACATCATTTTTTTCTTTTTTGAGCATTTTAAGAGCATTTTATTGTTCATTTTTGGCAATGTTTTAGGTCATAAAAATCCGACCCCTGCTTATAAGCAATCATAATCTCTTTTACAATTGTACATTAAAAGGACATTTGCGTTTTTGATTACATTTCTTACATTCTAACTCAAAATTATGAGAAATCTACTTATATATAAAAAAGCACATGAACCAACGTAAAGATATAATATCGAGGAATAGATTACATAATGAAAGAATTCTCTAGTTTTATTTTGAATATGTAGTATTGATTTGAAAAGAAAGAAAGAAGGAAATATCGGTTGTAATTTCAAACTTCAGAATTTTTAAGATATGAAGAGGCAAGAATTTCGTTGAATTAATTTCATAGTAAGAAAAATTAACACAGAAATAAAAAAGTACATAATTTACACGTTTCAACTGCTTTATTATTTCTGTGTGAATTTTTGTTTGTGAAGAAATATATTAATTTCTTGTGTAAATAATTAACATTTTATGTTTTTATATATATACACGCATAGTATGGGTATTTTTTTAAATTCATTGACTAGTGCCCCTTGCAAATTTTAAGCTGTGCTCATTATTCAAGTAAGTGTGTTTTTTGGCGAGTCAAAGAATTATTTTGTTTTGGAGTCACTTCAAGATATCAAGGTTCAACTGTATTTTTGCTGTGTATATTGTCTTTGAGTATGTTTACAGTGTTCATCTTTGTGGATCAGAAGCAATAGATATAAGGACACTTACAAAGTGATCACACTAACATTGGTATTTTGCTTACCTTGATGTTTAATGATTTTGTAATCCTATTTTCTTATGTGTAGTCATCTTCCACCCAACCAAGGTGGACGATATGGAGGATTTGGTTATACAATGGAACCACCCCCTCGCAGCACTTCCCAGGAATTTTTTGATAATGCCATGTCATCACTAGCGAGTGTATGTACAAAGTTATTCTTGTTAAAACTTTGCATTTTATGACACTAGAATAACAGGTTACGCTTAATGCAAATTACTGTCTTATTTATTGTTTTTTTAATAATCTTTAAACAGTTAGCTGTACTAAAAATATTAATTCTAATAATTTTGAAATTCAAGTACCACCATATTTCACTCAGTAATTATGACTGATTTTTACTGCAGAATTCAAGCAACTGTTTTTATTTAAATAACTGTACAAGAACTACTTGTAAAGCACCAGCAATACTTTCATTGAATGTTTGATACAGCTATGTTAAAACAACTTTTTATCATGTGATAGAACTAATCACACAATAAAATGTGAAATAGCAAAGAATTGAGCATTTGATAAAAGTGTTGAATCCGTACTGGTTTATTCACGTGACTTTTTTATTGTGCGGATTTAAAAATTTCAGTAGTTGTAGAATATTTGAATGTACTAATTATAAAAGTTAACTCAAAAATAAGACAAAACTAAAAAATACATATGAAAATAGCAAATAACTGGGCGATTTTGTATATATACCATTATAAATTTTGAATTAATAAATGATTGTAATGATCGAAGATCATCACCGATTCATCTGATTAGTGGATTTTGGTGCCAAAAGTTGAAGGATTTTAGTTTGTTGACATGTTGTAAATTCATTTTTGCTTTCAGGGGCTGTGGAAAGTATGCTTTGTAGATACATGTGTATTTATATGCATCTTTATATCTACTTATTTGCATCAGTCAGATTGAATGTTTTTTTATAGGTTTGAAAAAATTTCCAATACCCTGGCAAGCTAGATTTTATATTATTGTGACAAAGCCCCATCAAATGAATGGGTATATTTAGAATAAATTATTTGAAAGCTTATGTTGGTATTGTTATTGGACATAAGTTTTTACTTGTATAATGACGAGATACATAATCATTGATAATTAATAAAGTACTTCATTGTAGTTTAAAAAGCTCAATGGATTTCCAGAAGGCATCATGATCTGCTTGGATGCTACCATTATCTTTCACAACCCGTTTTTGTTTACTCTAGTGTAATTTCTCATGTTTTAAGTAAGTCTTGTTCTCATGAGTTTTTTTTGCAAATTATATTGGTAAGAGGGGTTTACCTGTACTGTCTCACAAAGATGTCAGTACCTGTCTCACAAAGATGTGTCTCTTATCCCAATGTCAGAAGATATAAACAAATACTTTCAAACTGTTCATGGAACCACAGAATGTGTTTCTTTACATACAGCTTTCATACAGCACTCGCCATGTTGGACTTTCCAAATTTTATGAATCTTCATCAGTAGATAGCATATAGTGGAAATGTAAATCGTCAAATTTTGAAGTGCTTTTGACATTTAGAAGGCGAGTTATGAGTAAAAATATTAAGTGTGAAGTATCTGTCAGGTCTTACAGGGGCGCTGGGGTGGAGGAGGCAGTGAACTGTGACTTCTGTTGCTGAGCGCAACCTTGGATCAACCCAGACCATTGACAGCAGGTTCTCACCCACAGAAGTGCACAAATTGGTTTTTCGAGAAGTTGTTTGGGCATTAGATTCTAAATCAAGCCTGATATTTATTTACAAATACACTGACATACAACTGTAATATTGTTTAATGTATGCAGGACACTTACCATTTTATAATAAACGACTGGTATCACTAAATTGTTGTTTCCTTATATTATTAAGTTAATGTATCCTCAAAAATGCCTAGTCCAAATTTGAAGAGCTTTTGACTTTTAGAAGAATTCACTTGTTTCTTGTTGGGCCAGGTCAGTGCCAGTGGTCTGGAAATGAATACCAATAACGAAGAGAAGTCCAAATGAAGTTGCAAGTGTGTTTTCAAGGAATAGTATTATTATAGTATGAACAAAGGAGGTCATTGAAATGATAATATGTTTACATTATAAGTCTTCTAAAAATTTAACTTATAAATCGTAACTTGGAAAGGAACTAATTAATGATATACTTTTATAATGTAATTTAATTAATGTTACAATATTTCAAGTTTTTGTATCGTTAGATTATTTCTAACTAGATGAAAATGCAATGAGAGGAAAAGCAGCTGAAATGCACCACACCCAAATATTGTATTCGATTTGGTTCTCTGTCAAGTAATGTGTTAGCATATTTTCACACTAGCTGGTGAAGCACTGCTGGTTTGGTCTGGGTTGACCCTTTACCTCAGGAGAAACACCCGCTTGCACCCTCCACCTCCTGAATTTGCTCGCCTAATGGCCCATTGTGACCAAATCAAGTCAAACCTGATATTTTTGTTTGTACCTTGTGTTCTAATTTAAGTCAAAAGTATTTAAAAATGTGTCTTAATGCACTATATCTCGTGGTAAAATCTCATAAAATAAGTGTGTCTGACATTACGAGTGCTGTGTGTCAGAATCACATGCGCTCTTGTTTTGGGATGCTAATATCCATTATTTTTATACTTACATTTTTTTTGGCTTCTAAATTGATAATTCTTCTGAGAAACAAATAAATTGTGCTTTCAGCGTGAATTTTTGTGGCTCATGAAACCTTTTTCTTGCAGTTTTACAGTTTCTGTGGTATCTCATGAATTCCAATCTCCATAAACCCATTTCATCTCTTGTCCTTAAAATTCTAATTCTGCATTATCTGGTTCTATTTAATTTTCTTCTCATAAAAAAACATTCAGAAAATTTTCTGGTCCATTTCTCTTAACAAAGTATTTTCATGAGAGCAAATAATTTTAACCTCCATTTTCCATTTAATCTATAATAAAGATATCTACCTCCATTCCTCTTAACATTTCTTAATTTCTTATGTTACATGTTTTTGACCTAAAAAATTTCATTAAAAATCATTCTGCAGGGCAATTAATTTATCTTTTTAAAAAATAGATTTGATTCGGTAAACGTTATAGTCATATATGGGGTTAATTGAATAATAAAATTATAAGTACAAAATAAATTTTAAAAAAATTACAAGCGAGTTGAAAAATGGGCAGATTTTCAATTTTTACACTTGTACATCATTCTTCTATCTCAAATTAGCTCCCAGAATATTGCTCAATACTGTAGATACTCATCATTAAGGAACGGGTTTTCATGTAAATACTATTTTTTACAAGAACAATTTACTTGCATTCAGTAATTTTTGTAATGCAATATTCTGAATGAATTAGTGGAGTGTTGTCTTGATTACATAAATTCTTGCTTAATATTTTTAGATCTTCAATACTTTATATGTAAATTTTCCAGTCTTGTAATGGTATAATGTCATTGTCATCAAATAAAAGTTTGTAGTCTTATTGCAATATTCCCAAAACCGATTTTCAGTTGATTTTTTTTTCTCAAAAGAAACAGCATTGTAAATGGGCAACAAATAAAATTTGAAATGGCAATTTTTATTGTATATGGAAGATGTGAAATGACAAGCACACATTTTATGGTAGAATTAACTATAAAAATGTTGGTTTCAGTTTTCTGGAATTTTGGCAATTGTTTTCACTTATGTTAAAGTTACAATGTTCAAAGCACTTAAGGTATGAAGTTTCATTCAGTAATACTTTTGTTTTAAATAGCATCCTGTTTGGAAGGCCTGTCTAATTTATGAGACACTGATACTGATTTTTTTATTACATATTAATTTTCATTGTAACAGTTTCAAATTACTATAAGCATTATATACTAAATATTAATTATCTGTAAATTAAAACTTTTAAATTCATCTTAACATCAAATATTGATGTGCTTTCAGTTTGAAGAGGTACTGTTAAATTGTCCTTTTGTGTGTTAAAAATAAAAAATACATCCGATTTTGTATCTTTGATTTTTAATTGGTTCTTATGTTATGCTTAATATTGGTTCAATATTTCCTTCATTCTCTTGTATATTGTAAAACTTGTGTTAATGAATTTGCATGTAAATTATTGTTTTAACTTTTGTTGTAGGGTTGGTCTGTTTTTTCTGTAAATGCTACAAAAATAGCTAGCAAAGCCACTGGAAGTGCTATGAAAATTGGAGGAATGGCATCTCAGAAAGTTGCAGAGATAAGTGTTTCAGTTGGGGAGAAAGTAAGTTCTAAAAGGACCTAAAATGTGTTTGGAATTAATGAGTTACATTATTATGTTCATCGATATTTCTCTTCATAAAATTTTGTATCCGGTCATTTCATTCACAAATATTTTTTTAGAAGTTTCTGATTATTGAATTGTATCTCTTCCTCTTTTTACTTTTTTTCCTCTACCTACTTACCTAATAAAGAGAAAGTAATGATGCTGCAGCGAAAAGTGTGATGTTTCAAGAGAAAAACTTGCATTGTGAATCCCTGATACTGAAAAAATGAATAATTCTTGCTCCAATATGAAGTTAATTACTTTCTGTATTACCACTTTAAATCCACTTGTAGGTCTTTACTAAAAAATTGTTTTATGGAAAACTGTCTCTCCTGTGATCGATCTGGGCGCACTTGGGTCATGGCGAATTTGATATCAATATTTTGATTTTTAGCTTACACGAAGCCTCAACATTTTCAAAATTTTCTCAAAAATGGCTCCAAATTATGGATTAAATATTTGTTTTTAATAAAGCAAAGTGCGCTTATAAAAAATAGCTCAGGTTCCCTGTCGGAACTCTTTGAATTTTTGAAAATTGCAAAGTTTTAACATTTTCTTGTCTTCCTAACATTATAAAATTCAAGACAGATTTTTTCTTAATGAAACTTTTTTCTTTCCAATCCTTTCATTTACAACTACAACTTTGAGCAAACTGCCTGAAAAATATGAAGCTAATTGAAAGTAGTGTTGCTAAAACAGCATGTACTTTCTTTGCCCGTACGTTCATGTAAAATTACACAAAAAGTATTCAAATATTAAAAAGATTGCACGTGACCATATTTCAAAATATATCTTTCAGGAATAGATTTCATTTAGAGAAAAAATTGCTATCTTCATAAGTTGTTTGGAGTCGCCAAAAAAAATTTTGAATTTTTATATTTATCGAAAAATCAGTTTTTAACAAAAATGAGCCCTATTCTATTCTCTGAAACGTCCTTCACACTATCCAGCGACAAAATTTAATCAAAACCAAAAAAAGCAATATTTTTTTAAATTTTGAAAATGTCCCAGGGGTTTCATGTAAAGTACCTTCCAAAATTAAAATATCGGTTTCAAATTCAAGAGGCTGCAACATCAGCCAGATCGACTAGGAAATATGAATTTTGGAGAAAATTGGCTGAACTGTTTGATCATTAGAATTGTTCACAAAGGGACAGTTGGACATTTTGGCATCATTTGATATTTTGTAATCAAAGACCCACAAAACATGGATTCTGGCTACATTAAGTGTTCAAGGATTTTCTTTCTAAATTTAGCAATTTGATTTATTTGCTTTTTCGTTGTCAGGGCCCTGTAAAAAGAGTTTTTCTGCCAAAATGTCGTGTGTTTTTCGCGCAGCATTATGCTGCTCTACTGCATAAGCAGTAGCAAGAAAGTCAAAAAAGCTATATGATTTACCACTTCACCTGGCTGGTACTCTTTGCAATTAATCAAATTTTCAATTAACATACAAGATTTACATTCTTTATTTGACATTTTGTATTTGTCTTGTATGTGTGGTGTTATAATTCGAATTCCAATACTGCAATATGCAATCATCAAAATTTGTGACTGTAACTTTCTAAACTTATAACACTACAATAACAAAAATACATTGTCCAACAATTTTAAAATATTACCTATCAACTTAATTTTTAGAACAATTATTATTCTTTCATTTTAGTGTTCTTTGTTACATATTACCCTTAAAATTTGTGAAATATAATGGAAATAGGACAGTATCACAAATTTAGTGGCTCGACGAACATATTTGCGGCATTAGCATGAATGATCGATTCTTACTTTCTTGAAAAAATCTTCACTTGATTTGTCACGAGAAGGAATGAAGAAAACTAGTTTTTCCAGTTACATAACTTTTTGGACAGCAAACAGTCAATTTTCAACTTCTCATGAATGCTGATTGAACAACCTTAATGTACACTACTTCTGAAATTATAGATGTTTATATGAAGAAAATGCAAATAACAATAGTATTGATGTTGTTGTAAGGTTATCTGTGTTTACTAAAGTCTCAGAACAACGCACTTCTTTCGCGAATTCCTCTGTTTATACAACTGGCTCTGTATATCTGAGAAAGAAGCCTGCTCAGTTGCAGGCAAACCATAGAAGTATCAGTTGTTTATAATTGAAGTTAATAGTTGTATTTTGTCAGAAGACTGCCATTTGAGACCATATGCATGTTTCTGCGATCCATAGCATGACGAAAGTCACGCGATTGCTTTATGCTTGGACATCACGATGCACCGTGTCATGTGTAGTTTGAGCAGAGAGTCCATTGGACACGACGGTGCCTGCCTACGTGCGCCAGTAAACAAATTATTTTAAAAACATTATTTATGTGTCCCGCTTTGAAATTTGGCCTATCTATACAAAATAAGTGCAGAAATACATTACAGTTTTTTACAGTTAATTTTAGTGTTGATCTAATGTAAAAATTTGCATTTTAAAAATTAAAAGATATTTTACATATTTAAATAACATGTTTACAAAAATATATTTACATCACATAAAAGTACATCTTTTTAAGTTAAATTTATGTATATTATTTTTCTTAAGAAAACAGTATTTTCGCAAATAAATGATTCAACATTATTGCATGCGTGATTCTTCAGAAAAAGTAATTGGTAATATTTCTGAATGGGGTTGTATTAGGAAAAGAAAAAGAAAAAAAAGTCACCTATTTTCAACCTTCGACCCCCAAAAAAGTTTCAAGTTGTTAAGTTTTGTGATGTTTTGTGAGTGTGCAATTTGACGTAGAATGACTTCTATGTGGAATTATTTACGAAATCTGTGAAAACTTGTTTTGAGTGAAAGATACTTTATGATGATATGTGAAAACTATAAAGATGGTATTTCGAAATGCAGAAGAATCAGTAATCAAGTGATTCAAAACAACGAAAAAGTTGAAACTCTAATGCAATAGCAAGTGTACTATAGACCTTCCACTATATCTTTAGTAGTGGTTGCCACCACCACCACCGCGCCACCCGCCACCGCCACCAGCGCACCCGCACCGCCACCGCCACCACCACCAACCGCGCCACCCGCCACCGCCACCGCCACCGCCACCGCACCGCCACCGCCACCACCACCCACCGGGCCAGCCACCGCCACCGCCAGCCTGCCACCACCGCCGGCACCGCACTGTGCCACTTGCCACTGCCACGCACTGCCACCGGCCACACCGCCACCACCACCGTCCACCACCGCCACCACCGCCACCACCGCCACCCACCGACCGCCTCACCGCCGCCTCACGCCGCTCACCGCCACCGGCCGCCGCCCGCCGCCGCACCGCCCGCCAGCACCGCCGCCGCACCGCCGCCGCGCCGCCCGCCCGCCCCGGCCGCCCCGCCCGCCCGCCCCGCCGCCCGCCCCGCCCGCCCCGCCCGCACCGCACCGCCACCGCACCGCACCGCCCCGCCCCCGCACCGCACCTGCACCGCAACCGCACCGGCACCGCCCGCACGCGCCCCGCCCTCGCACCGACCAGCCCCGCACCGCCCCGCACCGCCCCGACCGCACCGCACCGCACCGCCCCGCCCGCCCCGCCCCGCCCCGCCCCGCCTCCCGCCCCCGCCCCGCTCCGCACCCACCGCAACCGCACGCCCCGCACCCGCCCCGCACGCCCCGCACCGCCCGCGCCCCCGCCCCGCAACCGCCCCGCACCGCCCCGCACCGCCACCGCACCGCCCCGCACCGCTCCCGGCACCGCCCCGCACCGGCCCCGGCACCGCCCCGCACCGCCACGCCGCACCGCCCCCGGCCGCGCCCCGCACCGCCCCGCACCGCCCCGCGTCACCCTTTTAAGTGTGTTTTCCCCAGTATTATTTGTTTTCTCTTGGAAATCTGTCACTTGTTGTTAAGGTTGCTTATCTTTTTATTAATTATATATTTATACTACAGTATTAAGAAATTCTTTGCATCAGTTTGAAATATTTTCTACTTGTAGTTTTGTAACTTGTTTGAAAAGTATTTGAATTGCCATTTCATTAAATGTATTGATATCCATCATATGTACAAGTAAAATTTGTTAATTATATCACAATATTTATTGAATCTAATTTTAAATGATTTTCTTAGTTTTCTCAGTTTATCATTTTTATTCACTTGAATTATTTAAAAGGTATTTCCTTTTTAAAATTTTATTTCAAGTTTTAGTATAAGGAATGATTCAAAACTTCATCAACAAACTTTGTATTATCATTCCACCCATTCCCTACAGGATATTAAATTTCTGTGAATGTGCATCTGAAAATGTGTTGCTGTTTCCCAAAAATTCTCAAGCAATTTTTCATTGCTGGTACTACATGAACTTATCACTGAACAATGCTAATTGAACTTAAATCTCTTTTCTTCTCCTTGGATTTCTCCAATAATTTTTCCGGTTACGCAGAAACTAGAATCTTCGGTTTCTCCTGCATCTGTTTATAGACAACCAGAGGGGTAATCCATAAATTATATAATGCTAAAGAGGGGGAAGGGATTTGAGGTAGTATACTGCTTTACATAAGAGATGGGAGGTGATAGTGTAGTGTTATATAACAGTAATATGTATAAATTTTTTAAAATTGTTTCATAATTTGCTGAAATAATTACTTTTATTCAGTCTTGTATTAAAATATTAACAAATTAAATTTAAGAAATATAAATATATTAAAAAGTTATGATGTATAAATTGTACAATAAATGAAAATATTTTTTCACGAGTGGTATATTGATTGAATCTGTTCTGATTATTATTAAAATATTCAGCACCGATCCATGTTCTAGAAAGCAATTAAATTGGCACAGTGGACAATCGCACATATCATACACAATGGAATGTGTTCAGCTTGTTAGGGATTTTCTCACCTGAACATCCTTACTGCACTCAAAAATTGTTCCCAATCTTATTGTTAGGTAATGTCATCACATTGCATACTAATTCTGACTAATCATCAATTTTAATATACAACCCAATTAGAATTAATACAAATTGGTTTTACTGTTGTATAATTAATTTTTACTCATTGTAAAAGAAGGGAGGTGTTAAAAGTATCACATAATTATTTAGGGAGCAAAAGTGTGTCAAAAGGGGCCATGCGGGTGTGTTCTGAGGGAGTAGATTGGGTATTCAAAATACTTCAAATTTGTGTGACATTATGCATGGATGGCTTCTGAAATTTTTTTTCATGTTAACATCCAAATTAAGTATGCTTTTTATCCGAGAGGTGCAGACAGAATATTGTTAAGTTTTGTGGTGTTTCTTGGACATCTGGTACTAAGCAAACAGAAATACTACATCATCCTTAACTTTAACAAAAGACGGGCTATGTGAAGGCAAAGAAGAGGGAAATGATTATGAAGAAGGCTTACAGTAAGACAACATTAAAAAGAAGAAGAGTTAAATGATATGAGGGGTAGATAATTTATGATGGTGGTAATAGTAGTAACAAAGAAGGAAAAGAAAAACACATATAGATTTTTACCATGTAAAAATGCAGTTTGTTGCCATTCTGGTTGTGGAAAGTAGAGTAAATTGATGTGTTCACTACACATCGTCCTCACCATCATTTTTGCCTCTCATTTTTTATGCTTGATTTTGATGTAGGTACTTTCTTGTTCATTTTAATGGTAAATTACAAGGAAATCAAGCTACATCCTCTAATTAAATTAAAAATTGTGGTCAAATGTCGAGTGCATATTATTGCCAACAAGCACTACTATTACCTTTCTCATGAATCTTAATGAAATGGAATCTCACTGCTATTCTCATATTGTGTTTTGTTCATGGTATATCTTCAAGTGGATTGGCATCATCGATGGAAATCTTAGTTTTCCCAGGAATTGTCTCAAAAAGTTTGTTGGTGTAGTTTGGAATTGCTCTTTATATTTTTATGTTGTTTCCTTCATGTTAATGTAGTTACTTTTTGTTGTTTCATTATTAGGTGAAAGATGGCAAGCTGCTAGAAGATATAGGTTCTCATGTGACAAATATTGCTACAAAGGTATTTCTAATGTGTAGTGAAATAAATGAACTAAAATAACCAAATTGTTGGTTATTGTTTCTTGTCTTCATTGTATTTATGGAAATACAAATTTTGCAGGTAGGAGATTTAAGTAGGAGAGGATGGCGAGATTTGTCTGATAATTCTACACCTACTCGAAATGAAGGTGAGCCATGTGATACTCCCTCCTCTGAGAGATCGTTTTTACTACTTGATGGAAATCAAACGTATAGGTGAGTCTTGATAATAACCATCTAATTTACAAAACTGTTTTGACTGTTTTGTATTTATTCTCTTCTGTTCTTGTAAGTTTCTTTATATCATTTTATTTCCTAGTAAACAAGGCAATTTTCTTTCATGTGGATTTTTAGATCTCAAACACGTGAAAATATAAATTCCCCATTGTTAAAAGAAGGATCAAAGAACTTAAATCGGAGTGAGCAGGATGACTGGAGTTGGTCAGAAGAAAAACAACAAGAGGTTAAGTAAGTAATAACACACAAAGGTTTTATATTGGAAAAAAGTAAGGTTAATTATTACATTCTTGATTTCTATTCTGGGCCCTTCAACAAGAGAAATTACATGATGAATAGGCCCTGGATTCTTAGGTTCTGACCTATTTTATTCCTGGCCTCTTATTTTCCAAATTTCTGTATATTCTAATGTTTTAGGCACTGATGGGTAATATACTTTAATTTTATGGAACCAAAATTGACCTAACTTTATATTAGGACCTAATAATGCCTGTTTTTCTTGATAGAATGTAAAAATGCCCAATTTGATTATTTAAACAAGTAGTTTTATTTACATAAAACGGAAGGAGACTGTTTGAATAAGGAAAACTAAAAATAGCAATGTTCCTATAAAATCTTCCTTGATATTCCAGCAATAATATTTGTAATAATAAACTGTAATTAAAATGATTGCCTTCAGTTGACATTATTTTACTAACTGAGGGTATTGCTGAATGAGTATGTCAGCGGCACATAAAATTTCGTAAAACATGTGATGGTCACATGCCTTGACAATAAGTTAAAGTGTGAAGCAAACATTTAATAGTGCTATTCGATATAGTTGTTTTGCCCTGGCGCGACTCTTTGTTCCCTGCAGCCATCATATGAATAAGTGTAATTCATACAAATATATATATTCCAAAAATTGTATACATTCCTAACATAAACACACAGGATTCTATAAAATCCTTATAGAACTAATAGAACTTATTTTTAACTTTTTAAAATTTAAAATTCTGGGAGTGTAATGACGGCATTGTCGATAGCTACTGACCAGGAGAAATGGCTGATTTATATTCACAGATTTTGCCCAGTTGGTTGGGATTTGGTTGGTTGGGACATTTTGAAAATTTTCAACAACAAAAAAATTGGTCCAAGTTTTTGGATTAGATTTTGTCATCAGATAACCTAAAAGACTTTAAGACAATGGTTCTGGTCTAAATCTGCAAAAATTGCAAAAGTTCAATTTTTTACTACTACAATATTGAAGATAGATTTGTCGTAATGAAATCTGTTCTATAAACACAGATTTTGAAGTAATGCCATGTACAAATTTTTGAAAATTTGTATAGTTTTCACGCAATTTTAAAATTTGTTTACTCAAGAAGTCTCCAAATTTTTTCAATTAAATTATGACCTTGGATAGCATAAAGAAGGATAGCTTGGATAGCTTAAAAGAATGGTGCAGGTCTCATTGAAATCCCTGATTTTTTGAAAATTGCAAAAATCAAATTTTTTTGGTGTCTTCCTGCAACTACAATTATAAAGAATTTTTTTGTCATGAAATGTGTTCATCAAAAACAGATCTTCAAATAAGGCCATGTTAAATTGTTTTTTAATTACAAGCATAGTTTTCATAATTTTGCATGAAACTTGCATTTTTTTTGTTTAAACAATTTTTTCTTAAAACAGTCCAAATATTTTTGTGTATATTACAGTTCAAGAGTCACCATTATTATCACAAAAGAGAAAAAATGTAATATTTTTCTTGATTGGTTTGAAGATGCCCAAGAAAGGCTGGAAAGGGTGCTTTGAGCCCCTTAGAAGCTTCTTAGAAGCTTGAATGTCTCAACAATATGTTATCATTTGACAAATAACTTGCTACTTAAAAATGTTCAGTATGGTTATAAAAGTTAAAATGGAAATTTACAACTACGAAGGGGGGGGGGATTTGGGTTTTGATGGTTTGGAAGAGGGTGATATCATAATGTTTTATACATTTTTGTGCTGGTAAGGCCCATCTCTCTACTGTAAATAATCTTATTCAGATGCTTATCCTTTAAAATATACTTACCCAATGCAATTTCTTCCTCTAGTATTTTCTCTTCTATTTCCACTTCTTTAATTTCTGTTTTTCTTGATTTCTCCTGCCTTTTGAGGTTACAGTAAGTGGGCTCAGTGGGCCTCTGGAGGTGGGAAGTTACAAATAGAAGAAAAGAAATGATCTAAAAGTTCTTTTAAATTGTTGCCAGCACATACGAAGATTACTAAGAGTTGACATCAACACGTTTTATGTCTCTGACCTTCCTCTCAGGTGGCCCTCAGAGTTAGTGGACAACCTATATTCCGTCGATTTACCTCTATTTTATTTTCTTCTATTCATCAATTTTAGTTTTCTGTGATCTTGTTCTGCTTTGTACAGAGCAGTTAAAGCTAAGTTGAAAAGTTGTTTTCCTTCTGTCATTATTTTTTATTCTGCATTGATAAATTCTTTTGTCTCTTCAAAGTGGCAAGGAAGTCTTTTCCCATTAATGCTCTAATTTATGTTCGTCCAAATATCCAAATGTTAGTAGCTGGTAGTATCTTGCAGAATTCTTTCATTTGAATGTAAACAAATTTTTATTATATATGTATTATTAATACATTCTGCAAATTTCAATCAAAATTGTATTTTGACAGAATTGTAATTTGTATAATTTTATAACATATTGTAAAAATGTTTTAAAATGGAGGTATCTCGAAGTTAGTTCCAAGAAAATTCATGGTGAAGGGGTAGTCATTGTAAGAATATTTCTTTGAAAGGAATGATTCGATTCGATAATTTTGACAATGTCAAGGGGTTTTTGTCATTAAATCCTATGATTCGTTCAACATAGTTGGAATTCCAGGAAACAGATTTGTAGAAGCCACTGAAAACTATTGCATTTGGAAACATTTTTTTGTTGTTCATACATATCATGTGTCAGTTACAAGAAAAATCTCTCTTGCTATAAGTAATTAATAAGGTTAATTTTAAATCGTTTGTTCTATCTTTAGATCTCAAGTGCGAGAGAACATTAACTCCACAGAATGGAAAGAAGGATCCAAGAATAATACAAGACAGACCAAACAAGACAATTGGAATTGGTCTGAAGAGAAAAAGCAAGGGGTGAAGTAAGTTGTTTTTTGCATTATATTGTGTTTTTACTTCCTTTTTGACTATATATTGGAAAATTGTTACTTGTTTATAAAACAGTTCAGTTATAAATTATGATGTATTTGTTTTCAAAATAGAAGTTAGAATTTATTCACTTCAGAAGGTAGTCTAAGTACAAAATTAGTTCTCTGGTTATATCACACTGTTAGTGCTGACAACTACACAAATGCTGCTGCTCTTGGTCATTAAGTGCAGGTCATTGCCTACTGTGTTGTCTGTGGTGAGAGATTATGCCTGAAATGTATTATCGGCACACTCTTGACACTGAATCTTGGAATATTGAATTCTGTAATGGTTTCTGAAATGGACTGTCCCATGCATCTAGCTCCAACTATCATTCCACATTAAAAATGTGTTGATTCCCATTGTGTGGCCATAATTACGTCAAAAACTTTTTCACATGAATCACTTGAGTACTAATGAAAGGTCTGCCAATACACTGCCCTTTTATGCTGTTTGTATGTGATATTTCTGCCATGTATATTTGCAAATTGCTATCCCATGCCTTTTGCCTCAGTGTATATAGTGTGAAAATTTGAAATCGAAATAAAATTTTATCATTGACAACACTGGGAATGAAAACTTTAACCCACATCTGTGTCTATTTCATAGACACTGTTAATGAACAGTGTTGCTAGCAAATGACTACTTGTTAATGAAGAGTGTTGCTAGTAAACTCCTGTTGGGAATGAAATGGTCAGCAAAGGGGAAAGTGTAATTAGTCACACTTCAACCACGTTTAACAGTACATTTACTTACTAATTATTTTGTTTGATTACTTTTCTATTGATGTATTGAAAAATAATCTCGAGATTATGGAGAAGGTGTGCTCTATGTGCAAACTCAGTATTCATACACAATCGAAAGGTGAAGTGGAATATATGAATTGTGATGTATGGTGTTCCAAATATCACCTGGAATACACTGACAGCAACTGCAAAAGATATTTTCTCTCAAAAATGTGAAAAGGCAGATGATGTTTTGCTGTGAAAGTTGCTAGAGTAAAGACCAAACTAATGTGCAATTAGCTTTAGCAAAACTGAATAATAAAATCGACGCATTACAAAAGTCAAACATTCTCTGATGGAAGAAATAAAAGGTTTAAAGCAGGTTGGTTGTCCTGAATTGGCAAATCGTAAAAAGGTTGATTTTGAATCCTTATATGCAGAATTTATTCAGTGATAACAGCAAGCTAAAAATATAATCATGTACGATGTAAGTGAAAGCCTTGATTTGTCAACAGAAGAGTGCCTTTCCAAGAATAAACAAATAGTGAGTTCATTCATTTCTACATGAAATCCTAGATAAAGATGTTGATCTATCATCAGGTTCATATTGGAAACATAAACATAAGTAAATCCAAATCTTTAAAAATTATATTAGAAGACCTTTAAAAGTGATGTTGCCAAATTCAAATCTAGTTTTACAAATTTTGAGAGGCGAAGACAAAATCAAGGGAAAAGCAAAACTTGGAGCTGATTGCACATTACGTCAGAGAGATTATTTGAAGAGAATATGTTGCTTAAGTTGAAAATAAAAAATTATGGTGGAAATATCACATTGAAATATGTAAATCCCACTTTAGTAAGTATATCCACCAAAGGTAAATCATCATCTCAAACTTTGCAGGAAAACTAAATATCAGGCAGTTGCACACAAACATATCAGTATATTATCAGAATGTCAGAGGATTGAGAACTAAACTCTCAACTATCGCAAGTTCATCTACATTACATTATACAAACATTATAATTCTGATTGAGACATGGTTGAATGAGGATATATCCAGTACTGAATTAAAATCTACAAAACTATATTATTTTTCAACAAGATAAATCAACATTGACTAGCATTTGCGAGAGAGGAGGTGGTGTTGCAATAGTGGTCCGTTGTAAATTTATTAGTACAAAACTTGAAACACCAAATTCTCAGGCAGACCAAATCTTTGTAGTAATTAAATTTGTAGTTTTTGAAATTATAGTAGGAACTGTTTATTTTCCTTCAAAATCACCATTGGAATCATATATTATTTTCACTGAAAATCTTGAACAAATTTTCGAATGTCATCCAAACTCTTACAGTTTTTAATCTCTGTTGATTTCAATCTTTCAAAATCAAAATGGATCAATGATGATTTTGGTGTCTATTGTGGTTTCTTAAATCTATTATCAGAAGAGATAAGTTCTAGTACAATCTTAGCAAACACTGTGAATTACACAAATTTATTTCAAATGAACATCATCAATGAGTCTGGTTGAATATTAGATTTGATTTTTGTGAACGACCAAAATTGTAGTATATGCAAATCTGACTGCCCATTGGTAGACTGTGATATGTATAACCTTGCACTTGATATTGTTTTTTCAGTTAATGAGAAATTATCGTCATTGGATATTAATGAAACTAAATACGATTTTGATGAGGCGTATTCCAAGTATAAGTGATGCCCTAATTTCATTGAATTGGCTACCATTCTTTTTATAGAAAATTCCATGAAGAATGCATAATTTATTTCTATGGAGCAATTTACAATGTAATTGGCAAATAGGTTCCTAAATTTATAAAATATCCTGCCATAGAGCCGCCTTCGTATTCTACTGAAATAAAAAAAACAAACTTAAAGATAAGTCATCACATACAAAATTTAAATCCTCTGTGACTGATTATAATTATTTATATTTCTCAAAAATTGGAAAACTTTGTGAAAAGAAAGCCATAGATGACTATAATAACTACATACAGATAATTGAGGAATCTAATAATATTGACAATATAAAATTATTTTGGAAATTTACAAACTCTTTGAGTGGATCAAATAGTTAGCCAAATTTGATTTTTCTTGAATGAAATTAAGGTTGAAATGGAATGAAATTGTAAACTTATTTACCGAATATTTCAAATCTGTTTATTATATAGAAATAATTGATCATGAAATTAAAACTCATTATGTAAATTCAATGATAATATAAGCATGTTTTTGAGTAACATTCATTTTTTTGCGACTAGTGTTTAATGGATATTTTGAATGTAACAGTCTGCCGCACAAGGTCAAGCAGCGCTCCCCTGCTAGCGTGTCCTCAGTGGAAGGGAAGGGAAGGGATCTTAGTATTTGAAGATATGAAACATTCTAAATATTCACAAACCTGTGGCATTTATTTTCTAAACTCTGCATTTCATCCTTCCGCATTTTCATATTTTTATATTACTTTAGAATTGAAAATACGTATTTGTCATAAGTAGTATGTAATGAAATAAGATTGTTTGTTATTTCTGCTTGATTTAAAGGGGTGTCCAAAGGATATTAATGGGATCTAAAAACTAAACACACTGCCACAGTTTTGTGAATATTTGGAATGTTTTGTATCTTCAAATACTAAGAGCTCTTCCCTTTCCAAAGTGCACGCTAGCTGGGGGAGTGCTGTTACAATCAAAATATCCGTTAAATACTAGTCACAAAAATAATCAAAATTACTCAAAAAAATGCTTATCTAACATATAACAATTGCATATCTAACATATCATTATATATCTTTTTATGCTTGTCATGATAGACCAAAAAATATGTATTGTTCCATTTAAAAAAACAGTTACCTCAAATATCTCATAAAATACTTGTGATACAATAGAAATGGATACACACATCAATTAGCCTGATTCTCTCATGCACTTCGTGAAAACTGCATTGCAATAACTTCTACCGTTCAAAAGTTTTAGGAGGTGCAAAGACATATTTTCATGCTCCTCTACTGAGAATGTACAAAGTAACAAATTCAATCGACATAGACCTTGATATACACAAAAATAACTTCACATTGAAAGTGAAAAACACGATATTAAATGATTTTTGCTAGATATTTATTATAATATACACTAAAGTAATTACATTATTAATGTTATTATGTATATGTTTTCTGTAGAATAATAATAATTGTGAAATTATATGTAAAATTGGTGAATTGCTTGTTTAAATAAGTAAATAAATAAATGAGTAAATAAGAAAATAAATAAGTTAGTAAGTAAGTAAATAAATAATTAAATAAATAAATAGATAAATAAATAGTTACAGTTTATGCTTTTATGTGTAAGTGGCCGGCAATTTGTCCATCTGTAATTACGAAATGAGAAATGTTCAAGTGTGTGGTGTGCGTGCGTGCGTGCGTGCGCGTGTGTGTGTGTGTGTGTGTGTGTGTGTGTATTTGTATGTATATAATGTTTTATATGAAGTTGGGAAATTGGAATATTGTATTTACTTTAAATTGTATTTTTTTGCAGAACAAGTCCTCAGCCTAAACCAGAAAAAGAAAAATGGGATGATTGGGAATCTGGTAATTCTGAATCTAAAATAAATAAAGAAGATCCCAAGGAAGGGTTATTAGTTGATTTGGCAGAGGAGAAGAATAATGATTGGAATGCAAAATGGAATGAAGATGATGCTTGGGAAATGCTTAATAAAAAGGATTAATGATCCAGAACATTATCATGAAATTCTCACTTAGAATATGTTCAACTCGTTAGCTAGTAATATTTTGTGGGCTGCTTGTTACTGTGCGAATTGAGTGTCTGGAAGTGTCAATTTTTGTGTTGAAAGTTCTATTAAAATTTTATTTGGGAGAAATGAAAGATTACAGTTTGCTGGTTTTCAGCTTGTGATGAGAATGATACAGATTGACAGAATGTCTTGTGTGGAAAATGAAATTTTAATTTTGTTAAGTATATTTTGCATCATTTCTATTTTAAATCTATATTTAATTGGTTTTTGTAACTTGTGCTGTCTTATGTTAAGTTACGTGATGTAATTAAAGATATATTGGTGGACCATAATAATCTTTTATTTTAAACTTTTCGTATCTTGTGAAGTGATTTGCCATTATTATGATGCTTATATTGTGGTTCTGTAGTCATGAACAAAATTTGAGAATTTTGTAGAAATAAGATAATTTTATAGAATGAAGAGAATTTTGTAGAATTATCCAGTTATTGCTCAGAAAAAAAATATTTCAAATTGGTCTGAAATAATTTAGTTGATAATTTTTTCATGGTTATTACAGAGTGATGAGAAAATAAGACCTAATTTAAGATTTTGTCCGATTTTTTGATGTATAATATTTCTTTCCCTGGGGTTTAGTGGGTGACAAATGTGAAAAATGATTAGAGATCAGATTTGTCGATGTGTTAAAGTTTAAAAACTATAAATGTCTCTGTATTGTTAATCTTGTACATTTGATTGCTTAGTCACAAGTTTCTAAAAAAACAGATAATCTGGAAGTTGTAATATAAGAATAATTTCACAAAATCTATAAGTAATGACTATTACTTTTTGACATAAAATAGAATGAAACTTGTCTTCGAATGAAGACTAACATAACTTTTGAAACGTTGGAACTTGGTTCATTTCTCACAGGTACCACAGCGACATTGAGTTCCATCTGTTGCATCTACAGGATGATCATATCCATTGTACTGAATATCTTGTTGAACCATTGATAATCTGCTGTGGCACATTCTTTTTGGAAAGGCTATTGCTGGCTTTGTTAGTAATAGTATTACTAGGCTTTATGAATTCGAGAAGTGAAATTTTCCTTTTCAATACATGGTATAAAAGCCTCACTGTAGCATCGTAAATGCAGAATCTAATGTGGGGTCAGAACTATTTACATTTTGTGTTCTTGCCAACTTTATGTATTGTTGTTTATCTCTTATTTACCCCTTTTTTTGTTGGCTTATATAAAAAAACAAAATGAAATTTTCACATTCTCATTTTTAATTAAATCTTCGAATACTTGACGTTTTGACAATTTGATGTATTGCCATCTTCAGTCTATGAAACAAATTTATTACAATAATTAATTGAACAAAATACTACATATATTCCTTAAAAAATACAAATTACGTTTTACTGACCTTCGTTTAAATACTAAGAAATACAAATTAAAGTTTTGTACTGCTTAAATGGTTCCATGAAACAGCCACAACAGCAAAACCATGATCATATAAATGCTCACCTCCTTAGATGCATGACAATTCATAAAATGATCTATAAGATTCATACAAAGGGACTATTAATTTGCAATATTAATACTATTCTTATTTGTATTTCAATTTCTTTTAAGCACTCAATTCCATAAGCTGAAGCATTTGAAATAATGCATCGACAAATAAACCGTGAGGTCTAAAGAGAAGGGAAGGGAAAAAAGTTTTTTTTAAATTTTGATGAGAGGAAGTTAAAAAACTTTCACTATTTCTTGTTAAATTTTATTGTTATGCCAACAAAAAAAGGGATAGAGAGAACTTTTTCTTGATTTGAATTTTCAACTGATGTACTGCTCAAAGATTATCAAAAAGGTCAGCACAACCCATGGTGCAATTATACTCTTCGATTCATACAGGCTTTTGTACAGTGTTGTACTTCTTCATACATTCTCAGTGACAACAATGTCTTCGTAGTGTACATCCTGTAACATTTGTAGCCGCAATCACTTGTCTATTGTCATGCAGTCTTACTAATATAATATCATTTCTTCTATCTATTACAACTAAAACAACATAAACTCCCTCTTTCTTTCCTTTTTTATTAAATCACAAAGTGAAGATTTTTCAATCCTATCTCCTTGAATTGTTCCAACACTATAAAGATCCTTTTCTTTAAAAGATTCAAGTAATGGAAAGGAATTAAAGTAATTATTAAGGAACATATTTTCTTGTAAACATATATTTTTTCTGGAACAAAATAACTGCATTCAGTAATATTTTTCGTAAGTTTACAATGTATTCTGAGTGAATTAGAACCATTTATATTTTACCTATTTTTAAATATCTTGGTATTACTACACATTTTACCTAAAACTACTTACTTTGTTATATTTTCATATATTTAAACTCTGAAACAGACTTAAGATGCAATGTTACTAGAATAATCTTTCTTACAAAACATTTAATGCTACTGTGCTTCCATGACCACCAGACATTCGCTATGAATTGTGAAACTTACCCATCCCCACCCCCTTCTTAGAAAATGTGTTCACAAAATTGTGAATGAGCAGATATTTGTGAACCAAAAGTAATTTTGACGAGCCATAAGCTTGTTCATGTTTCAAGAGCCCATACGTAACTCAATTGAAAACTAACAAATGTATTTACAGATCATTGTCTTATCACTTTGTTGGATTTGTGGGGGTGTATGTTCCCTTCCCCCCACCCCTCCAGGGTCTATCACTGTTTACACAATACTACTATTCTCTTGAGCACTTGCAAGTCATAAACAAAATTGTGTATGCAATGATTACTTCTGGAGAGGTAGAACTATCTTTCAGCTGCTCTGAATCCATCTTAACATCTGACCGATGATGTGTTTATTATTATTATTATTATTATTATTATTATTATTATTATTATTATTATTATTATTATTATTTTTATTATTTTTATTATTATTATTATTATTATTTTTATTATTTTTATTTTTATTATTTTTATTATTTTTATTATTTTTATTATTATTATTTTTATTATTATTATTATTTTTATTATTATTTTTATTTTTATTTTTATTATTTTTATTATTATTATTATTTTTATTATTATTTTTATTTTTATTATTTTTATTTTTATTATTATTATTATATTTATCTTTCAAGTCTCTTGCCTAGCAAGGTGTCCTACAGCAGAAACCAAGATGCCTGCTTCGATTGCAAACTCGGGCGGTCAGGATTCACGTGAAGTTATATCATTAAAAATGTTCTCACGATGCATGCAGTAGTCAGGGGAACAGCCTTTTGCGTTGATTGAATGGGCTAGTTCTTAAGGCCAAGCCTTGCAGACATTGAAATCAGTTCATTTGCAGAGATGACCACAGGGACTTGTGCTTAAAAGTTGGTGCAGGCCTAAATATTTATAGGTATACTCGTGCCCAAGTTCTTGGATATTTGTGCCACACATCAGGATGAGTTTGACAAGATCAAGGATTTCCCTTTTCGTATGAATTGCAGCACATTTATCAATCCCAAACTCCATATAAGTAGGGTCGCTAAAGGACTTAAAAAGTTCAAGCAACGAGGAAAGCTGGTTCTTATCTCTGGCGTACAACTTGAGATCGACCATGTAGAATTGATGATAAATGGGGATTTTCGATGATTTCATTTTCCATCCCTGAATCTCTTAACGTTTTGCCGAGACGGTTTAAAGCTAGAGAGAAATATAAGGGACTAAGACTGAAAAATTCCTCGTTTGAACTTCAGTTCCTTGGTGGTATAGCTGCTTCCAGCAATTGAGACTTTTTTCTATGTACACCAAGTTGCCATGCAGTGTTGACACATACTGGGCATTTACAGTTGTTAAGTTCACATACTGGGCATTTACTTTGAACAGGCGAAGGACATACAAATGCCCATGTGTTCAATCCATCTTACAGAAAAGGTGCGGTGTCTTTTTTTGACTTGATTGACTACAACAAAGTCTACTATCAATAATTCTTTGCAACCTTGAGCACTCTTTCTGCTACCATTTTGCTCTGGTGCCAGAAGATTGTTGGCCTTTAGACGGCCTACTGACAAGAACAGATGTAAAAATCTTACATCCTATGTGATAGGTCCGTAGTTGCTCGGAGTCTTAGGATCGCTAAACTTAATTATCATAAATGTAACTCTTTCAGTAAAAAACGCCGGAATGATAGTTGGATCGTTGAGTGTAGCTTGAAGCCACCTGGCCAGAACTGCATGTAATACTTCCACCAAAAGTTCTGTATCCCATCAGCATTGGTGCTTTCCAATTCTGCGTCTTCCTTACTAAATTGAAGATATCCCTCAGTGTTATTATAGGCGTGCACATCTGAGGTATATCACAACACGTCCTGCCAACCAGTAAGCTCCATCATCATGGGTCTTGGAGATGTATATATTACTCCAATATTCTTTCATCTCGGAGCTTTTAAGGCATATTTCGGGCAACTTTCTTTGATCGTTGAGTTTCCTGAAAAGTTTCTTCTGTTCGCATGAATACAAAGCATTTTTTGTCTTCGTTTCATTGCTTTATGATATCTTCTTATAGGGCACCCAAGGGCTGCGAGGACACCCATGGAGCTGTTTTAGATACTCAAGTCGGTCTCGGTGCCTCTCCTCGAAATTCGCCTGGATTCTTCGAATTCTCATCTTTCGCCCAATCGCTTTCACTGCATTGGAGACATTTCTAGTTGCTTTCTGAGCAGCTCAAAGAAGACTGTCAGAGTGCCTATGTCCCACCGGAAGCTTTCAATCTTGCATTCAATACGCCTCAACCATGGGGGCCTGGCGGGCTTAGCGGACTCTACTGTGTCTTCCGATGTTTTCAATTTATCCTTTACGTATTTACCAAGACCCTGTACAACAGGAAGGGCTGCACAAGACACATAACTTACCACCTCCTGAAGCGCTGTTGATTGTTGTACATCCACCTTCAGAAAGTTTTTGACAGTTTCCATCGCCGCATTTGTACTTGGGCCGTATCCCACTCGTGAGATCCATAGTCTAGTGGATACCATGATAGTATGTCTTCATGGCTTCATAATGCGCAGTCCAAGAGAATTGCTCTGCGCTCAGGCTCTGGGAGGCAAGATTCACCAGGTTTCATCAGAATCTCCATAGACCATTCCTGATTAGCTTGTGGGTCTTCATTATTTCTTCCTTCAGTCTCATTCCTGTTCTCAATACCCAAGGATTCTCTTACATTCTTCCTAATGATATTTATATCTGCAGCTGAGAGAAAGTTCCTTGCAATGATGGTGCGTTGCTGGTCGCACACTCTCTACTCGGACACCGGTATGTTCGAATGCAACTTTAACCATCCTTCATGAAATCGCGTCTTGTATTCCTCCATATTCGCTTCAAGTTTGGTAGCCAAAAAGTAAGCATGAATAGTGGATATATTTAACTCTAGTCCATTTCACGCGCTGGTGTATGTTCTGAGGTCGGCCGGGTGAGCTGTCATCTCACCCAAGCTGCGACCCCCAGTATTTGTATTGTGGTCGCTATAAGTGGTACAGCGCCATACCTTCCCAGATGGTATGAGGGGGGCTCCAGTGCTCTCCACTGGCACAGGTAGCACATTTCTCACTGCGAGCCCAGTGCCGGAACTCGCAGCGCCGCCTTGCAAGTGCGGGTCGCATGCGCCACGAATCCTTTGACTCGCATAACTTTTTCTCACATGCGTACCGGGTAAGAGTCGAGAGTGGAAGCACCTCTCACCTCTGCGCCAGAGCCCCATCTGCACGCCTGCACCCGAACCCTAAGGTCGAAGCTCAGGCACCTACAGTCCGCAAAAATATAGGGAGGGCTATTTCGGATGCTGCCCCATCTCCCAGTTGCCACTTGGTTCGCCGATCCCTT